ACTCCTGCCTGTTGGTGACGAAGTTGGGCGTCTACACAGTCCTTCATTCTGTTCAACAATACCCTGTTGAAGACTTTTCCCGGTATTGAGAGAAGAGTGATGCCCCTGTAGTTATCACACTTGCTGAGATCGCCTTTCTTTGGTGTTTTGACCAGAAGTCCTTCTTTCTAGTCTGTTGGTACTTGTTCCTCATCACAAATCTTATTGAAGAGAATATGGAGTATCCTTGCAGTTGCCGCTACGTCTGCTTTCAGTGCCTCTGCTGGAATGTTGTCTGGTCCTGCTGCTTTGCCACTCTTGATATGTGTGATGGCCATGCTGATTTCTTCAACTGTTGGTGGGCCAACATTGATTGAGAGGTCCGTGGGTGCTGCTTCGATGTTGGGTGGGTTCAGTTGGGATGGTCGATTCGAGAGTTCTTTGAAGTGTTCTACCCACCTCTTTTGTTGCTCTTCAATGTTGGTGATTACCTCGCCTTCCTTGCTTTTCACTGGTCGTTCTGGCTTGCGGTGATTTCCAGAGAGTTTCTTTGTCGTGTCATACAGTTGTCTCATGTTCCCTTCTCTTGCAGCCTTTTCCGCCGTCGTTGCTAAATCTTCCACATATTTACGTTTGTCGGTTCTAATGCCCCTCTTCACTTGTTTGTTTACTTCTGTGTATTCAGTTTGTGCCTTGGCTTTTTCTGCCCTTGTTCGACTGGTATTGATTGCTGCTTTCTTGTTCCTCCTTTCTTGAATCTTATCCAATGTACCAAAAGTGATCTATTCCTTGTGATGGTGCTTCTTGTGACCCAGGACCTCATGACATGTTGAAGTGATTGCCTCTTTGATCCCCTTCCAGTTGCTCTCCATAGTAGTTCCTTCTCCATTGAGTAGATCATGAAGGGCCTGGAACTTATTGCTGAGGACTATCTTGAATTTGTTGAGTTTGTCAGTATCCTGAAGAAAGGCCGTATTGAACATTTGTGATATTCGCCGCCCCGTTGTTCGGTGCTTCTTAAGTTTCAATTTGATCTTGGCGACCAGTAAGTGATGATCTGATGCTATATCATCTCCTCTCTTGGTTCTCACGTCCTCCATCGTCCTACTGAACCTTTTGTTGATGCAGATACGGTCGAGTTGGTTTTGCGTGGTGTGATCCGGTGAAGTCCATGTGCTTTTGTGAATGCGCTTATGTGTGAATATGGTGCCGCTTATGACCAGTTTATTGAAGGCACATAGGTTTGCAAATCTCACCATTTTCGTTTCTTTCTCCCACTCCGTGTCGTCCCATGATGTCTTCATATCCAGTGTTGTGCGTTCCAACCTTGGCATTGAAATCTCCCATCAGAATGGTCAGGTCCTTTGTTGGGCACTTCTCCATGATTGACTGCAGCCTATTGTAGAATTGATCTTCAGAGTCTTCATTGTAGTCGTCGGTAGGCGCATAGCACTGGATGATGTTCATTGAAATGCCCTCTTTGTTTTGAAGGAGGCTTTGATGATCCTTAGTCCATGAGATTCCCATCCTATAAGTGCATTTCGTGCTCGTTTAGACAGCATCAATGCAACTCCTTGTGTATGTGGGGGATTGTTTTCTTCATGGCTAGAGTATAACAGAAGCTCTCCTGAAGCTAGTCGTTGTTGTCCAACTTGCGTCCAATGTGTTTCACTGATCCCAAGCACCTCCAGGTTGTATCTTCTCATTTCTGCAGCGATTTGGAAGGCTCTCCCGGTGTCCCACATTGTACGAACATTCCATGTACCCAAATAAATAATCGCTCTGGTTGTCAGAAGGGGCATCGGCCTCGTAACTTCCGAAGGAACTCGGCTTTCATCATGAGGCGTCATAACTCTTCTAAATGAAGACCTTCTGACTCCCAGGGCAGAGTTTAAAAGGTTTGAATAATTTTTTCTGGTTAGCGTTTTTTAGCGAGTTAGTTCTCTACGGGATAGGGTCGCTAGCCCCATGCCCAACCCTCCTCCTTTGTCCGGGCTTGGGACTGGCAGTAGCCCCCAGAGGGACTCCAGGCGGCGTAGAATGAGAAATGAAAAAAATTTTAGTCAGTAGGGTTGTATTTCATTTTGGATATATTACAAGCGAAATGTGATGGCACATGTAGATTGTACATAAAGTAAGCATTATCAAATGTAAATGTTATCTTGGATTATCACCAAGATAAGACTTGGCAATTTCGAATAAGTTGAGGACTGAATAGAATGTTAATAATAAAGTAATGATATATTTGTAATATCCTAATGTATAGAAATTAGTATTTCTGACGTTTTGTAATTTAGTGTAAGGCATTTCAGAGTAAATCAATAAGTAACTGAATTAGATCAACATAAGTTTAAATAGTATAAATGAACTGAGCGTAATTTAATCTTAATATTCAGTTCGCACCAAATGAATACCGATTTTTGAGATATTTTGGCAATTCTTCCTGGCATATTTTAACACTCAAACTAATGACAAGTATCGCTGATTTTGCCCAAGTTTTTCATCTACAACATTTTATAGGATTAAAACTATCGATCGTGGTAACTCATATATAATTCTAATTGTAACAGATGTATGAATTTTCATGCAGTTACAGAGTATTAAATTTTGTTTCTTAATTTTTAAACATAATGTGAATGTACAATTGTATTATTAGTTCGAATTTTTCTGTTTTACACTTGTTATAGTATCGCTATTGCCCAGAATTCTTGTGGCGTTTAGCTCGTGCTACCTACATAGCCAGTGTAGAAGCGCCATTAGATGAAGCTGTGTCACAAAAGGATGATGCATCACACGGTCATCATACCTTAAATGATATTGCTTATAAAGTGCAAACTCGTCGACAGTTTATTGAGTCAGGAATAAAACATGCACGTCGAGCGTTAAGTCTCGCACAAAGAGCTCCTCCACCACCGCTGGATAACGATCCAACAAAACTAGCTCCAATATATAAATGGTTAGCTATTTTAGTTGGTGTCTATTCATCTTACCTCAGTGCTCAACAAAGAATACAGTATGGTTATGAGTTTAAGGCAAGTTATCTAGATGTACTATACTTGCTTTTTTATTTAGTCCCATTCACATCATTTGACATTCTATATGGAAAGAAATCCATTGTTGATTACAAATAAATAACTAAGTGGATAAATAACAAAAGAATTAAGCGATCTCAACGATGTGCATAAATGCAGACAAATATGATGTACGAGTTTATTTTTGCATCTGATTTTCGATCAATATGGGTCAATGCTACTGTGAATATGTAGGTCATCAATAGCGAATTAGTGGTCCAAGCACTTGGATTGCATTTCCTGGGTCTTGTTTTTGAAACTTTATCCCACGTACATCACTTCTGGCAGCCGAGTAGTACCAGTAGATCCTACAGTGGCTTAAATCCGAGTATGTAGACATGTAAGTGATGAGTTACTTTAGCGAATTATTACTCACGTAGATTTTCTCATTTTCATACGATTAGGTTTGTATCTATTGACAGCGGCTGTTACCAATGTGCAATTAGCAAATGTTTTTGTAAAAAGTGTACATTGTTCTGTCATACTTGTATACTATACTTAGACAACCACTCTGTCATAGTTTTCTGATATATCCGTCCTCCAAAGTCTTAAATATATTAAAGATCCAAGTGTCATCATGTGAGGAATAGTCTTTTAATATAATGTAACCATAAGCAAGGAATATCATATTTTTATCTGGTTCATCTTTAGAATGTGCAATATATAAAGCCTCTCTTTTCAACATATTGATAAGCATCAATATGAAAATCTTTCATGCAATGTGCCGTCACACTTCCCTTGGTTAGTGATAAGAAAATTCGTTAGTCCTCAGTCACTAAGTGGTTGTGCAACTCAAGTCTGATTTCACAAGCATTAGAAGTTAACTTCGTGAATGAACATATACACCATGTATGGCAATTTGAATTAAATCTGTGTGCATACACGTTCAGTCTTACTTTTTTGGATCCAATCGTTAATAGTTTTATATACCGCACTTTATTGTATATTTCAACTGTTTTTTGTAATTTGTTAAAGGAATTAATTGATACAGCAATCAAGCTTGACACTTCTGATGCCCTTTCCTATTATCTACGAGGTCGTTGGTGTTATGAGGTATGTAACTTGCTGCCATTCAGGAAATTCTATTGCTCATAATTTTAACTTGTTGAAAGTAGTTTTCTCACCATCCGTCGAGAAGGTACAAATATTTCATCGAAGAAAACAGAATTTCAAACAAACCGATTTCCTCCCAAATTTTCCTTGTCACCCCTTTTGAACACTACCTATGTTGCATCTCAAACAATAAATTCTCAGTCCTTCTTTATGTTTGGCTACTCTACATGCAATAATATTTCTCGTTAGTTAGAAGTTTTTGATAATACTTCGTGTCTTTACAGCTCTTAAAAAAGCCACTTTAGTACCATAGATTAATGCAGAAGACTTATTCTTTCTCTAAAAAAAACTAGATAATACACTTTATCTACAGAATGTTAGATACATGCAATCAGTCAGCTACAAGGTAGGACGTTCAACAGTATGAATGACACATTCTCCTAACTGTTCTTGTTTTTCATTTTAATCTTAGGTGTATAATGTTTCGTGGATTGAGCGCCAGATTGCATCTAGGTTATTTGGCAAGCCTCCGACATCTACCATTGAGGAAGCTGAGACAGCATTTGAAAAGGTAAGCACAGATTTAAAGAATTTAGTTCAGTATTTATTAGCGTTCAACTTCCGTCTAATTAAGTTATTTCATTTGTTTGATTGAACAGGCTGAAGAATTGCGCCCAAACCACTACGCTGCACTGTACCTGTATCAAGCTAAATGTTCTTTGTCTTACTTAGATTACAAAACAGCACTGTATAAATTAAACAAAGCTCGAGGCTTGTTTGGCCAACATAGATATCCTATACCACACACAGATATCGGTTCTGTACAACAAGAAGTAGATCAACTGTACGACAAGTACTCTGGATACCTATGAAATCATGTATATAGCGAAAAATATATATTACTTTAATTTATATATTTCTCATTGTTTCCATCAACTTAAGTTGTATCTTATTCAAAACGGAGATTTTGTGATATATACATAGTGCGTGAAGAATTACATATGATCAAGATATTCGTTTATAAATTTTAGCTTTCTTGGCTTTCTTATCAGATACACCAAATGGTTTATAACGCTTTTGGCCTGGATTTTCTCGTGTTCTCTTTGATTTTACATTCAAATCCACCTTGGGAGTAATTGATAGTCCACATGTTCTTGCTGTTGCGGCCAAGTCTAGTTCATCTACATTGAAACAGCTTAGGCCAGACGAAGCGTAAGCACGAACTATACCTTTGAAGGCTTCCTGAGCAGAAAGAGCAAGGAAATAGTTGTTTTTGACCAACTTCTCCAGAGCTGGTTGCACATCCGCCATCTTTGAATTGGCTATTTCATACTCTACAACTTTAACTCGAGCTTTTCTTAGAATTGATAGGAACTCTAATTCATGAGGCCTCAACACTAGCAAAGCATTTCCCGTGCTGCCTGCTCGAGCTGTACGACCAACTCGATGTATATACTCTTTGGCGTCATCAGGTGGGTCATATTGTAAAATCCAGTCAACCTAATAAAAGTAATTCAGTAAATAATAATGTAACACGTATCAGAAAAATGAGATTATTACACTGAATATTCAAGAAGGCTTGAAGTAAAATACATCTTTTCTTTGAAGGATAAAGTGAGTGTGCAAAACACTAAGTAACTTACTAATCGTTTAATTGATTGTGATACATGCATAAATCTACTTATAAGAAACGGAATAGGTCATAAGAACGCATTGCGAGAATACGTTTGGAAATCTAGTCACGAGTCTGGCTCACGTAAATAAGCGTAGGGGTATCAACTCTTGACATTTTAACCAGGTACGTTACTAGCTCTGGGTACTCAAGTAGTATTCAGAACCCCAAACCACGCATGTAGGTCCAGCTAGCTGAATTTGATACATGAACTTTAGGGAAGCTCGTTAAGACTGGGAAACTTTTGTCATTAATGAGTGTTGTATCTAAGACGCTCGTATTTCCTATTTGTGGAACCACACTACCAAGCCAATCAATATAGCGACTTTTAGATATCTGCGCAAACGGCAGAAAATAGTGACAGCTGTTATGCCATCGTACGAGAATAACGTATTGTGGATGCAAAATTACACGAAGCACTTAGTGCTAATGCAGATTCCGTCAATTGTTTTTCCCAAAGTTCGAAGTAAATCTAGTTAAATAACGTCATTACTGACCCATAGGACGAAGGATATTATCATTTGTAAAGAACAGTTAAAGGCGTCAGGAATTTAATCTGGATGGTTTTCAGGAAACTACGTCAGCATTGCAGAAAATGTTTACACATTATTAAAGACAACGAGAAGACGGCCGCAAAAGTATTTATGACTCGATAAAAGATTCTAACATGCCGACCCTACGAGTGAGCTTTTGTAGAAAAAGGATGGTCTGTGATATAAAGAATCTACCATGAAGCGTGATAAACTTATAAAGCTGTGTAAAAACGATATATCCACTTAGTTTTTGATAGCTGCTTTTGATTTTAGCTACTTGTATATTTATTAGCTGAGGTATCCAAAATTAAAGGTAATTATCAGTGTCGCACAGGTTTAACAGTATGGTAAGTTTTCACCCATTATTCCAGCGAGGTACCGAGAATTCATCTGATATACTGGTAGTAAATGCATGTTTTCTATGCACTTATTAAAAGGGAACTACGATTTTGTTATCTCGGATTAAGGTCTAGGGTACAGTGCAGTTTTCTTAGACATTTGCTTATGGGTTGTTCAAAACAAAAACCGGTGGAAAAAACTGTCTTTGCATCATTTTTAACCGCAACAGATTTCAGTTAATATACACTCGAAGATGAGTTTTACTTCTAAGTAAATGATCAATTGCGTTCAAAAGATATTATGAAGCTAACTGGGGACTTGCACATCACAGTGATACGATGCCCGTTAATTAACCCATATTGATTGGAGAATGAGTAACAAATGAGCTAATTTCCTCCAATTGTCAATGACTACTATGTCTATTCATCTGGTTCGTAGTTTTACCTTTGATTTCTGATCATTAGGGGGCTTAAAACAATAATGATGCCTCGTGAATAGCCATCATTCAGCTGTCTCACATCATTGGATTAACACCCTATTACAGTTTGACAACCAAAAATCCGCTCATCAAATTATTGGAAACATCTATACCGCACATTAAACGATGGAAACCAAGGTAATCGAAAGAAGAATATCAAGATGCTAAGCATAAATAATATAGCTCGGAAAACTAATGAAATAAAGGAATCTTGGGCGAGATCATTGTTGAAATCCAATATTTACCAGTAGCTAAAAAAGGGATATGACTGACCACCTTAGATGGTGGATAGTAATAGCCTCATGGTCCAGTTTACTATTTCTATCTAGTAGCTGAAGTGTAGTTTATATATTATTTACTCAGCTGTTTTACATACACAGTGATATACATGATGAAATGTAACTTCAGCATATCTACGCATAGAGCGGCTGTGTAATGACCACTTTGATGGACAGACGACCATTTTACTATCAGTACTTGTCGGTGAAATCCAACAAAAATTTGAAATCTGCGGGGAAATTTTGTAAGCTACCAATCAAAGTCGGTGTAGAATTTATGACGGAGTGGTCAGAACGCTCAAATAGTTTGCCTTCTACACTCATACTAGTTACTGACGCAACTTTCTTGAACCAATATTTTGCACTTTGAGAGGGATGCCTATAAACATTTCTACACTCCTACACAAATTGCTCGGATCCGCATTGTAAGCGTTATCCTCAAGCAGAAATATACAATATGTTTATTTCGTTTTACCCAATACTTAGAAAAAATATTTTCATCTACAGAGAGCTCTGGCGGCAGGTACCTAGTGAATTCAGTCCATTCAAATAACAGTATACCGCAAATTGCGATCGCATTTCGAGTACTAGGTCTTCATTAGGTTGGTTAATTTACGAGAAAAAGCCTTCTCATTGACAGATAGCCTCATGGGGACCTTCGGTTTTGTATGGCTAGTCACTGCTAGACATTTTCGTAATACTGTTATTTCAACAAGAGAAGCAAACCAATCGAAAACTTACCTTTGGTATGTCTAAACCGCGCGCTCCGACGTCAGTACACAAAAGAACAGCAGACTCAGCTTTTACAAACTGAAGAAAGGTGCTTGTCCTTTTAGCTTGTTTTTGTCGTCCATGGATGGCTAGGACTGGAGTATCCACAAAGTTCAGCAACTCATAGTAAAACTTGACTTCCATGCAGGAAGCCATGAAAACCATAATCTGAAACGTGTAGAAAAGTATGTGGGTTGTTGATTAGTGAGGTGACTGGGAGTGTGAAAATAATTTTCAACCTTAATGATATTATTGGTGCCAAACAAACGTTATATCTGTGAACATACTTGGCTGATTCACAATTCTTGGTCACAATACCATATTGTATATCACATGCTCACTATTTAAGCTCAAAATAGACTAGACGACATAAGATAAACTCGTCTTAAGGATTCAAGCGAAGATAATGGCTGGAACTCTTGATCGAGATCTGGGAGACACCATAATTTATGGACGAACCAATCAGACGAGTCTGAGATTTTGGTGCGGAATTTACCCATCCATTTGGCAAAACAGCGTTTTGGCATTATAGCTAGCGTCGGTTCGTGATGAAAACCAATAAATCAAACTACTAACCATCAACTGTAAATCATAATTCTAATTCCTCACACTTTTATAACCCTCTATTAATCCTAGTTAATAGGTGGACATCCTCAAGATCACTTTAGTGTCGCTTAAAGGTCGTTTGAGACAGAAATATCGAGTTTCGTTAAAATAATGTCAGCTGCTCTTGGAATCCAGAGACAAGCATGCAGTCTTCAGGAACGCCAAGAGGTTAATTAAAGCAATAGCCCAAGTAAATAATTTGATTAACTATGTTAGACTAGAACCTATGAATACATTTATGCCTAGTACGGTAGTATCCATAACAATGAAAATATTGTGAAGAAACTTCCCCAGAGAAACCCATGTATCTAGTGTTTATCAGTGAGTCTCTACACTGAATGATTTCGCGTAAAACATAAACTTGACGAAGCGAAAGATACGAAGGAATGGTTAATCATTTTAATGAATAGCAATATTTGGGTATTCTCGAAATTACCTTTTTACTTTTATTTTTCTTGAGAAATGTGTACAGTAGACAAAAACGCCTATCAGGAGGGCAGACAACATACCCTTGTTCCAATCCCTCAACTGTTGCTTCATTATCAGGAGCTGATCCGACCATAACACAAGAAGCTTTAAGCGCAGCGTTGGCTAGGTTCTTCGTCTTTTCGTTCAAGGTAGCAGAAAACAGCATTGTTTGCCGTACCGTCGGGAGAAGTTTTATAATTTGTCGCATTTCCACTTCGAAACCTATATCCAACAAACGATCAGCTTCATCGATTACAAGAGCTTTAAGATTATGACGGAGGAAGAACTTTGTGTTTGACAAATGATCTAGCAGTCTTCCCGGAGTTGCAACGAGAATTGTCACACCTTTTTCAAGATTCTGAGCTTCAGTTTGTCGGTTGCTACCACCCATAATGAGGCCAATTCGTAAATTCGTGAATTGAATGAGTTCCTAATTATAAAATACACTACACAAAACTTAAAATCTTACTCCCAACACACCATACGTCTGAAGACTAAGTTCACGAGTAGGTGAAATGATTATGGCACCAGTACCATTACGAGGTTGCAGACCCAAGTTTAGCATCAGTTCCACAACAGGTATTAAGAAAGCTAGTGTTTTACCACTCCCAGTTTTAGCACAGGCCATCAGATCCCTGTGCTCAAGCAGCTGTGGAATACATTTATCTTGGATATCGGTCATATGTGTGAAGCCCATTTCCTTGATAGCACGCTTAATTGGCTCTGATATAGGCAAATCTTCAAATTTTCCAGACAATGAGATACTCGTGCCAGGCTGTGACTCTTCTAAATTATCCAACGCGGCATCCCCACCATCGGTTTGTTCTTCAGTGCTTTTTTGTCGAATCTTCTTGAGTCTTTTCTTCAGCTTTTTCGTAGGTGAGAACTCCCTCATCATGCGACAATTGGAACAATTTAGGCGCTTTATTACATAACCTTGAGATTTTAGTGCCGGTCACTGTTAAATATTCCAGATACAGTTCACAGTGGTGATGATTGCAAGTTAACCTTAGTACCTAATACTCTGAAATTTTTAGCACTATTAAAACCCAACCTCACCTTGAATGTACCACAGAAGATGCTGATGTTTCTTGGACTGGATGAAGTTTATTAATTCACTCCTTGATTTCGGAGGCGAAAATGATTTGATATCAGTTTTCCAACTTTCTCAAAGTTACGTTTCAAATGGTCAGTCTCAATTGGAGGGAAAACACAAGACATAGCAATCTCAAGATCATCGTTCAGCATACGGTTAGACAGTATTAGATTACCCTGTAAGTTTTGGTAATACGTCGGATTCAAGTTGAGGCATCTCAGTCCGTCTTTATAAAACGAGTCAGAAAGGCCCTTCATTATTTTTTTGCCTTACCGCTCAATGCGTCCTAACATATCCGTTTGATACTTGAAACAATGACGCTTATTTAGTAGACCAAAGACATCGAGTTCTTTAATGGTCACGCTATCCAGTGTATGTGTGGGAAGATCTGTATGCACTGATGGGAAGGGTACTTCTATGGTATGTACATTGCTAAAGTAGTTTGATAACACTTGAGCCTTACCAAAGTCGTCCTCCACTAATGATGAAGCCGTACTGTCTCCCCATAGAGCAGTAATATTTCCTTTTCTCCTTGTCCTTTGGTTTATATAGGAATACAAGCGTTTAGGACATTCTATGGATTCATTAACAAGTTTTCCTTCATACAATTTTCTAGACTTACGGAGGGTCGAGGCCCAGGTGTTCCGAGGTTTTCGATACTGAGATTCTGTCTCATCTGTCCCCAGTAACCTAAATCTATCCCACATTTTTTTCTCTTACGGAGAAGGATGCGGACCTCCCTACTGAACCATGGTGGGGAGTTTCTCAGAGCTTTGGTATAGTCCAAAGGATGTAGGGTATGGCAACTTTTAAGTATGAATTTCGAAATGCGTCCCAGGTCTTTTCAATTGAGGACTCTGGGTCTGTTGTCCAGTCTACTAACGATGCTGAGTGTATGATATCTGGTATGTTTGCTTTCCAGACGTTAGGTCTGGATTGGACTGACACGTGCCCATGACTGACAGTTATATGAAAGTCGAAAGTTAGAACTGCGTGATCGCTTTTACCTAGGGGTGGCATATAATGGAGGTTCGTAACGTCATCCTCATAGTGAGTCAGAATAAGATCTAGTGTCTGGGTCATACCTTGTCGCTTCTTGCACATGTTGCACTAGAGCACATGTGATAACCACATCAACTAGCTCCTGCTCGAAGGAATTTTCTGACGACTCAGTTCGCAGATTTACCCAGTCTACCATTGGTGCATTAAAGTCCCTTAGGATTAGACATCGACCACTTTTCGACCAAGTATTGAGACTGCTTAACAGGATCTAATTTACCTCACAGCTTGGACTGCGATAAACCAAACCAATCAGCAGCTCTTGTCCCTTGCATTTCAAGTGGCAACTAACAAATTCACACGTCCCACTCTCATGCTATACACTGTCGATAATGGCAAATGGAATAGCATTCCTAATGAATATAGCTACTCCCCCTCCTTTACGCTTTTGTATTCCACCGGCCCTTAATAACGTAAAACCCTCGAGATCAAGTTCCATACTACCTATAGCCTGTGTCAGTCAGGTTTCTGTAACTGCGATTATGTCCGGCTTTGTAGAGTCAATTTGTATACCTAGTTCCGATCGCTTATTGAGCAAGCTTCAGGCATTAGTGTAACAGATCCAAAGCCTATTTAAGTGGCTTCGTGCTTCACCCAGAGTGGCTTCGGCATCATTCTCTGTTGAAGCCTTACAACCCGAAAAGTTGCAATTTTCAGGTCCTTTTCACCACCATCTAACCTAAGTTGTAGTCCTTTTTCGGCTTCCCGTCTTTTTACACGGTCTGCCAATGGTAAGTCCTCACGGATAAAAACTCCCAAACTCTTTAATTTATGTCCATTCTGTAAAATTAGGTCGCGTTCGTTCGGAGATTTGAACATTACTTTAAGCAGTCTGGATTGATTTGGATTCACGTTCGCTAGACTCCCTAGTCTGTACACCTTTAGCAAGGTGACCTCGGTGATATTTTGAGGCATGAATTGATTAAGCAGCTGTTTAATCAGCACAATGTCATGCTTAAAACGATCTTTTGATTCAGAACTCTCACTCTCCTTGATTCTATGAAAAATAACTGATCTGTCGCTGTGATCAGCTTTCGATTTTTCGACTACTTTTACGGGGGCAAAATTCCCTTTTATATCGCTACGTTGTTTCTTCCTTACAACCTGTACCCATTCGTCAACAGTGCTAGGAGAAGCAACAACAGTTGCGTCAAACCTACTGTTGGATTCCGGAGGGTTGCCGACGACCTGAGAGGTCAGGTCATGTTTCCTACTAGAAACCGATCGAGCCTTGCGATTGCAGCTTCCAGGCGTTTCCTGCTGGATGCCATTTGTGAGACGGGGAACAGAAGAACCTTCTTTTCTTGAGTTTTTGTTTAAGATAGACCTCTTTGGAGACTGCTTTTCCTTCTTTGATCGGTGTGAGTCACCTATTTCCGAGCTCATATCAATTTGCGTGTTGACAGAGTGAGTGCTGTTTGATGTGTCCCGACTGCGCCTGCTTAAACACTTTTTCGCAGAATCTAGCAGTGAGATGGCCTCGGTTAACAAGCTGTTTGCATCCGAACAGCACTGTTGACAAAGCCAAACACAACCCTTTCTACTGAACCTTTTGAAAGCCGAAGGCGTTAAATTCGTGCAAACTTCGTGGTACCAGCCTTTGCATTCATTGCACTGCATGCCGCTTTCAACAGGATAACGACAACCCGGACGTCGCTAACTGCTTTTTTCGCACTGTCCAGTCATCAGAAAATAGCGCTTTTGAAAAAAAGATGAAGTAATGCTCAAAGACAAAATGATCAATGACCAAAAAAGTAAGATATTTAGCAGAGGCAGACTTACAGTTACTTAAACATCAATGATCGTTGCATATTGTTGTTTCCCATGGCCCTATGGAAATCACGTGTCCTAACCACCAATCAGAGTATCGACTTGCAGACTATTCTCACGACCGCAAGTCAATTTTTTTCGTACAAATGTCTGGACGTTTCAAAACTTTACAAGTACTCCTAGTCTTATGGTAAGTGGATCTATACTGTTCAAAGCTCGTACAGATAAACATACTTCCTACTTCAGAAGAACACATTTTGGCTGGAGATAGAGTGATATATTTTATGTGGAAAGGTATGGATTACACGAGAATGACCACACTCGCAAGGTTGAGACACGCCATGCCGTGTTCACCGTTATTGACCTTCCGTTAGTGCTGCACTTTGAAAGTGGATCTTCTCAGTAATTATATGTTCATCTTCGAAGACCATGTGGTTAGGAACTAATACCACTAAAGACTAGGCAAGTTTAAGTCAAGGCTACGATCAGTTGCTCTAATTTGTCCACCAATACTCTTAGTTCATGGAATTTATTTTCTAGACTACGATTATCTGTTCATAAAACTCTCAAAGAGAATGATGTATTCATTCAGATCTTGATAGAATCCTCTTAGAAGATTTTAAGACTTGAAAGCCTACACGACGGTGGCTTTCTTTACTACTTCGTCGACGATATTCCAGTCCAGCTATTGCCGCCTTTCATTTTGGTATGTTTTCAACAGAAACATCATGTATTTTTAGAAAATCTGTGTTATCTTAACTCTGAGCACTAGTTACTGAAGAGAAAATAACACGAGTTAATGTAGACCAAGTATAGTTTTTATGTTATGAATACATGAAAGCAAAGTTAATTCGCAACAAGTACGTTTTTTAAGACCTGCGTGTATTGTGTACCTATAAAATAGGTTATGTTCAGTCCCAAAAATAAAAGCAGGAAGACAGGTGATATATACCAACTCTCACCACTTAGAGCATTGCAAAGACAGAATTTCTCTTTGAATGCAATGACAAAAACTGGTGATATCACATTTACTAGTAGGGAATTTCAGTGATCTGCTTCTCAAATATAGCGATGGGTAATCCACGGCTTTTGAGATTTTCGTTAATGTATTGTCATGTAGTCAATTCTATATGGAAGAAAAAGATATAGTTATAACGAAATTATTGTTCAGTATACGATAGGTGAAAGTTAGTTTTCATTATTGTCCTCCGTGTAATAGCATTAACAGGTTATTTATCGGTCTACCTTCATGAGGCAGTTCAAGAATGCATTTTAACATTTTGGTATTTGTGTCTAATCTATTGTCGAATAAATCTATAAAAGGCTGACGTTACCTCTAAGCGTCGAACATATATCTGGAAGCCTTACGCAAGTCTGGTTGATTCCTAGTTTTTAAAGTTAACTGATGTACTCTTATAGTGTATTTTGATCTGACTCGTATAAATAGGCAATCAGTCATATGTGAAAATATTAATTGATGTGCTGCACAACACAATGACGTTGCCTTGATCCACTGCATAATATCGTTATGAGATTTAACACGTCAGTCGTAATATGAGTCCACGTATTAATAAATCGACAAGTGGAGGCCCTTTAAACGTGTTTCAAGAGAGCTCGGTTGTTCTTCCGAAGGGAGCTTGAAATCTATTCATATTTATTTATTGTATGAACGTATTGTTCTCCGGCTTTAGGAAAGTAATTTTATTATCCTTATTATTTTTTAGAAACCCTAGATATTTCTTAGGACATTGAAGTAAAGAGTACACAGTAGTGAGCCTTATATTGTATTTTGTAGTAACCCATTGAGCTAACGTTTCCATGAGGTTTTTTTAATTTTAATTAGACTTCATACCACCGAGCTACCAGAGACTTTAGTTCACCCAAAAAAAAATTGAATTTCCAACTGGGTGCAGAAACATGTATTTTTCTTTGCTTAGGTCAGTTAAAATTACATCATGTAACCTCTTCGTGTTTTGTGGCTTAGCTCTTCTCTGTTTTTGGAAATATATTTGTAAAAGAGCATGACTATTAAAACTACTAAAACTTCTTCGATCTTTTCAATTTACCATAATCTGATGCGTACATATTAGATTTGG